CATGTAAGTGTCTTTAGAATAAAGTTTAAAATGACATTTCACTTTGTTCATTTTGTTCGTTTTTTTCTACAGTGAATTTAGTATGAGATAGGAATTTAGTTATTAGCTTAGGAGAAATTCTTAAGATCATGTTTTAAAATATGTTATTTCCATATCTAAGCTAAATTTATAATAGTCTGATGCATTTAAATATATTTGGTACTCGGATAAAATAGCTACAAGTGAGTATAAAAGCGATTTCTTCGTCATTATGTTTCTTTGTTTGTTTGTATAAAGTCGCCTTTGGAAGTGAATAAAGGTTGAATGCAGACAATTTTCGGAATTTCATGTTGAAACCTAATGCTTAAATGACGCACACTTGGTAGAATTTAATCATTCGCTAATAAACTGCCAATGAACTGCAATGATACATAATAATAGTTCATTGTTTTACTTTCTTGGATGGTTAGTCCCAGTATTTTTGTTAGGATAATCAGCCAATATCCTAAGCGAATTATTGCTCAATTCCTATTGGTTAATTCCTACTGGTCAATTTTATGGTCGTCCTAGATATCAATGTCACGTACTCCAATGTTGTTTCTCATTGGTTGTCCTGAGTATCAATGTCACTTCAAATGTTGCTTCCTATTGGTCATCTTAACTGTCAATATCACAGACTTCGATGCTGTTTCCTATTCGACCAAAATGTATAAATACGCATTATCTGTAACGTTTAATGGCCAGGACCCGGTCCCGGATCCTAATTCTCTTCTGGACTCGGACCTCGTACTTTCTGGATGCTTGTAGAATACAGGTTCTACTTCATATCAAGTCTTCTTATTTTTACTCAATAAGAGGGTTGGGATAATCGGATTTGAGTAGTATGTCGTGTTGCCGGATCCTCGATCCTCGCTCTCGTTTTCCGACTAGGTAAACTCGTAATAGTTCAAGTATATCAAAATGACGTGTTTACGTGCAGGCGTAACAATTTTTAATTTAAAGTCATTCGAAGTTTCAGTGATATTGAGTCAGCCACATTAAAAGTGGCTTCAGTATACTGTTCAGATGTTCAGGTGGTGTAAATATAAGGGTATTTGTGAACTGCACTGCTATTTTTGTGATATCTGCTGGTTTATGAGTTTTCTGTTAAAATAATAAGAACTTAATGAAATGCATGATATGGTTTACCATAAGAAAGTGCAGGTGGATAGCGCTACTTTTAAAATCGAACTTGTCGCTGATTAAAATTTACTATTTAAACGTTTGAAATTTCCTCGATTCAGTCTCTTCATAGGGCCTCTTTAACAGACATTTTTAAAGCTTTGGTAATAAGAATAATGTAATTGTAATATCCCGATGAGTAGAAATAACAGAATCTTTTCCTGACGTTTCTAAACTCAATGTAAGCTATTTCTTCGGAGAAGAAATAACAAAAATTAAATTAATTTCAAGTTTAAATAGTACAGTGGCGTAACACAGCAAAAATATTTAGTACAATCAATGGATCAAAACAAAAACAGGTTTGATCAAGTCAAAGTCATATCACTTCGATCAAGGTGGTTTAACGCGACATACTGGTGTAATCAGGTTTCTTAAAGGATGTGAAAAATGTGACATGCGTAATGTGAAAGGATAGAGTTAAACTTCCATGTATGATAATAGTGTGAGTTATGGCAAAATAAAAGATATACGGCAGCTTGGATAGATGATTCAATTCCGTTGAATTGTAAGACCTTCTTTCCTGTTGAGGAAAGTAAGATTTAGCGTTATATGGAAAGCTTCAGCTACTCACCTTTCTTTGTGGTTGGAAATGTTTTCTAGAAGGATTTTGATAGTTTTTAATATCCAATTGATGGTGAATAAAAATGTTATGCACAGTTATTGGAGTCTTCCCAAGATTTACGCAATTATTAGGTGGGTTTTTTTGTATCTCAGATGTACTTTTGCTTGAGTCACGATTTCACGCGATGACTCTCGAGTATGGAAAGCATCACACTCAACACAACCTGATTTGTATACTCAGCCCATTCATTAAGCACTACCGTTGTATACCTTTTGTTGACTGTGGTAATTTGAATAGAGAAATAAGAAGACATATTTTGTGAGATAGTACCATTTCGTGCTTTCTCGTCAGTCACATACAAGCAACATGTTATTTGTGTAAATACAGACGGATCAATCAGGCGAAAAGTACACCGCAAACCCACCTGGTCGGGACAGTACCTCCACTTCACTAGTTTCTGCCCCATACAATATAAACGTTCTGTTGTCAAAACTTTATTCGCTCGAGCAAGTAGAATCTGCACTGCTGATACATTGAACGACGAATTCAAGCTTATTACTGACACACTTAAATCAAACGGATATCCCGAAACGTTTATCGGTCATCAGAACACAACTATGACGAAGCTGATAGCAACTGATGTGCCCAAGAAACCAGTGTACCTACAGTTACCTTTCAAAGGTGATCATTGCATGAAAATTACAACCAAACAGACTGCAGCTGCAATAAAAAAGACCTTCAATGCAGCTAATCTGAGGCTTATCACAACAACCCAATCGATCTCAGTTACCCCAATCAAGTCTCCAAGACCGATTCAGTCCAAATCCGACTGTATTTACCAATTCACATGTAACTGCGGAGAAAGTTACTTAGGGAGGACAGATCGCCGATTGGAAGATAGGATAGGGGAACATATTTCAAAATGGTTAATCAAATCCATGATTAATCAACCTAGCCCATCATTTCAAAATCGATCAAGAAACCCAGCCTCGTCCATTGCAAAACATCTAATGATGAGTGGTCATGAAATTGATCCAAAATCAGCCTTTAGAGTTGTGACATGTAATCAAAACCCACACACACTAAAACTACTTGAAGCTATCTTGATTGGTCGTAAAAGTCCAACTTTATGTGTTCAAAAACAACTGTATGTTGACCTTTGTTTACCATGGTTCTAGTGAGTGAATGTCATGCTAAATAAGAAATTTTGACCTTATCTTCAAAACTGTATTTACACAAATAACATGTTGCTTGTATGTGACTGACGAGAAAGCACGAAATGGTACTATCTCACAAAATATGTCTTCTTATTTCTCTATTCAAATTTATCAAAGGGAGCCACTGTTTTGGACTGTGGTAATCACTATTATTCTGTCATTTTCTAAATAATGTAAAAACCTTTAATTTCCGTTTGAAACATTGAATGGGAGACGTTTTCGTTTTGTTAAAATGCACGTATCATAATGACCTAGTAGATTAGACTTTTTCAGTTAGTATATGAAATAGTAGTTGTAAGATTTTGAAAATTCCTAGAGTAATGAGTGACTCTCGATGAAATATAGTGATTCCATGGTTATTTGGAGTTGTCTGACCAATTATGATTCATTAAAATATTACCTCTCTCACCCTAATGTCAAGTATAGTTATCCTCTGATCGTTAATCTTACAATTTCATATGAGTCATCTCGACATTAACGAATGTATTTTACAGCTTGAAATTCACACAATTCGAAACGATGTATATTGCCTTAGACCTGGCCATTTTTTGGATTATTGATTTGGATAATTGTAGAGCTTGAAGAGAATTTATCGAAAAGAATATATGTGTTTTGATATGATAAAGACATTTCAGAGGTTATAAGTAGACATAAATCCGGGAGATATGATTCACGTACAGCGAAGCAACTTTGGAAGAACATGTCTCAATTACTAATGTGAAGTAAGAGATGCTTTTTATGTGATTTGACTAATATCTTTGTAGACTCAGTTATCAATTGAAGATGACAGAACTAATTTATTTTTTGATTTTAGGTCTCTTCCTAGTACGATTCAAACCACAGGATTAGAGCTTCTGTCTGTTGAAATAATTGATTATCTACATAGACATTTCGAGGGAGATAAATAAATGCTTGTCAGTAGTGTTGAAAATGTTCATTTTTCAGCAAAAGTTAGGGAAAATCAACAAAATGAGTTTCATCTAGCCAGAAAACTTGACCCCTACCATCTCGGTCAGGAAAAGGCCCTTTTATTTATACTGCTGGACTGGAGTTGAAGCTTAAACCAAGTATGTTCTTTTCTTCGGCTGAAAACGTAATCCAGTGACCAGTTTTGCCAACTGAGCTTTATCGGTTATAGTACCTGCTACTGTTGGTCGTATCGGTTGAACTCACCTACCTAACAAACCCGTAGACTAAGCGGAACCCATACTTTACTTATCTGGAGACTAGACTGCATGTAGGTATAATAAATAAACATCAAATTCGAAAGGACAGAAGTGATAGACGCTCTGATACTCATGCGCTTTCAAACACAGTATGAAGCGAAAACAACTTAAACGTAAGCTGACAAAAAAATTTATACGATGATCGTGAACACTGATGGATAATGAAAGCAAGGGATAGAAAAGGAAGTAGGAATTGTTAAAGCTAAACAGTTGAGGCTGATAAATTAAGTGAATAGGTCTTCAGCAATGGTCTTATTTTAGCAGCCACCTTGATGGTGGGCTTGTTTAGGACATAGTAGTGATCAGCAATTCACTCTATTTTATCCTCTAGATATGGAAACTGGTCCCTTGGGGTAGAAAACGATGGTTACGTACACCCGATAACCGCTAACCTCAACGCATAGTAATGGGAGGGTCAAATGTAAACTAGTAGTGGCTAAACCAAAACGTGGCAACCGTTTATGGAATTATCGACTGTTGACAGATTCAGACTATCTAGTTTGGGCTTGCAACGCAATCGGGACTACTTTTTGACTGGGTCAAAGTATAGACAAGTTTAAGGATCGACACAGAACTAGATGAGCTACAATAATCTCTTGTGTGTTGACGCTAGCTGGAATAGGATGGAAGGAGTTTCATAAATATTGTGTGAATCCATATGATTGAGTGAACTGAAAGGCGCATAAGATGGTAAAAATTGACAGAATATGTTTACCTTTAGCTGTGATTTGATCAGATATACTTTACAATTATACTGTTACGTTAAATTTAGTCTGTCGTAAATCGAACAAGTGATAATATTATAAAATACTTTAATTTGTTTTAGTTAGTTGTACATTCAAAGATGATTGATTTCACTGAAATTTTAATTGAAGAAGTAAGGAGATAAACATATGCTTGTTATTACAAGTACGTGTGTACAGTTTTATTTATGTGAATCTCACACAACAAAGCAGAGTAATTACAGCAAATTAAATAAGAATCTGGTTAGATATGTGGTCGTATTGTCTTCTGCATTTCAGAATGCAAAGAATTGAATGATACAGAAACAAGTAAACAGATGTAAAATAATCACATGATCATGGTGATAGATTATTATTATTATGGTATTGAGTTTTTGATAAAATATGAAGTACATTATGCATAGGTAGAAGCAGTTAATGTTAAAATAATATAAATTAAAATATGGGAAAACATTTTTCATCAGAAATGCAAAAAAAAAGTATGAGATTAATCCCTAAGTTTTAATAATATATATGTCTGTATATTGGTCTGTGTTTAGAATCCATGTATTAACGACGATATTAGATAGATATACAGATATCATCACCTGAGAAGGGATAAAATGATGCATTTGAGTGTAGAGTAGTCGCGAGAAGGCACATACTTCTTGAGCATTGATAAGATTTCCTTATTTAATTTTACAGATGAGATTAACGTTTGATTATTATTCCCAGTAGATATAAGCAATCATACCGAAACTTATAATAGCAACTACACAGATACTGCTAACTACAGCACCAGTTGTACTCTTTACATAGCCACTTTCTGAATAAAATCGGCGAAGATGTTGGAGTACATGAGTTGGAAGCCACCTTCTACGTGTCATATCTGTCTCACGCATTCGTATTCGCATGTTTTCGATTTGTGCACGCATTCTGGCTTGTCGAGCCAGACGAGCTACGCGGCGTTCATGTAGATCTATTGAAGCAGCTAAATATTCTTTGGTATATGAATCGGAACTATCTTCTACTCCAGCAGTATCATCTAATAAAGATACACTCGACCCTACAGTTTGTGACGAATGCAAATTATCAGTACTTGAATGTGATGTAGCAAGCGTAGAAAAAGTAGAATTTCCTTTAGTAACTTCGTGAGTTGTAAGAAATGGTTCTATTTGACTGATTGGTAAAGCGTCATTATTCCTGAAACGAGAGTCAAAATAATAGCATTCATTAATACTTATTGTTGAATTATAGAAACAAATAAACATGTAAGGTGGAAAACAGTTAACAAGTTATAAATACACGTCATCCTTTTGTGCACATAATTTTAACGTGTTTAGTATATATATATATATATATATATATATATATATATATATATATATATATATATACTTAATCCAACAAGAAAATGGCAATATGTGTTTGAGCCACTATACTAAGGCAACATCAAATCTGAAAATTGAAATGAACCATGTAGTAAATTTCTACAGTAACAATGCAACTATGGAAAAATACAAAAGAACAACACGTACTTGAACGTTTCATGAGATTGATGATCATTTCAAATTTTAAGAAAAAATATCCCGTAAATTTCATAGATGTTACTTAAAACAGCTTTTCAAAACCCTGAGTTTAACCGAACAAACGTGATACATTTGAAATTAATTCGCAGATAATTATAGTGTGAATAACATAGGCTTATCATAGAGTGGTAGTAACATGAAACCTAGATAGATGAGGGGAATTCGAAGGTCCTACAAACAGTGGATGCACGTGCGCCATTGCAAACGACTTTGCACCAGGTCATTTAAAGTCTCTAACCAACCATTACTATTGTCTCGCAGATCTCAACCAGACAGTCTACATCTACCAACATGACCTAGTCCATTTGCCGGTGACTTCATGGATTTCTGCCATGTTCTAGTCTGGCCAACCCTAGCTTTCTTCCAACCTGATTCTACACCGCAATACATGGCTCGACGAGTCAGCCGGCGATTGCACAACTGAAAGACATGTCCCAACCACCTCAACTAATGACGTTTCACTACTTCATCTATTGATCTGCCATCCTTACCTAGTACCCTTTCCTAACCCCAGTACTGCTTACTCGAATGTCCTAGGATACACGAGCAATACTTCGAAGACACTTTTGATCGAATACTAGTAGCCTGCAAATATCCTCTATTCTTAGTGGCCATGTTTCACATCCATATAGTAGGACGGAGCGAACTGCTGCGCAATAAACCCGTCATTTGGTTAGCAAACGGATATCTCGCCTACGCTACAAGGGACGCTCGTAGGCAAAAGCCAATCGAGCCTTCTGTAACCGTGTTCAGATTTCGTCAGTCACCAAGCCATCAACACTGATAAGAGACTACAAAGATAAATGAAGCGGTCAACATGCTCAACTGCTTCACTCCCTAACACTAGTTCAGGTACCGATGCAAGCCAATCCTGACGCAACATTTTGTAAATCGACGGGGGGGGGGGAATCGCAACGCGAGAATGCTTGCATTGTTGCTTAGTGTAGTCAGGCGAATCTCCTGGTAAACGTTCAACGCCTGAAAACTCAGATGTTAAAGGTGTCGTATCTAAAAGCACGTCAATGACAAAGTTAAACAAGAATGGAGAAAGTGAACAGCCTTGAGGGTTACCACTTGAAGTAACCAATTCTGATGACAGTTCTTCATAAGCTTTCACTCGACCACTGGTGTTCGAGTAGAGAGCCTGTATAAGGTGGCAAAGGAATGAAAGAAGAGCTGATCGTCAAAATGTAGGAAATATTTGATTGTGACTAATTTGGTCTCGTGTGCTGTTACGGGTATAAGAGTGGATATCACTTCCCGGCTTCCCATACCGTAGAAGGGTGCTTCTTGACGAACCTGAAAATGAAATCGGGTTAGCGTCGGTCTGAGTGACCTGGAAGCGTGACCGCAGAGCCCAACGGACAACTGCTTGAGGCCGGTCACATACGACATTTTCATGGGAGGTTTGTGAAGTGTTAGCTCCGCTCTTTTTAAGACGCCTTACGACCGGAGATGGAAATCCGTGAGGTAAGGTGAGGTGTGACAACTTAAGGATCGACCTTTTCTAACCCCTTTCTTCCTTGTGAGAAGGCAGCATTGCGACAGATACTGGTTGTCCGAGGTGAACACCTTACTCCTGTCACACCCCTCCTCCACAGCCAGTAGTGTGGCTTCTCCCTCAGACTTTCAGTTGCTGCTTCTAGTCTTACCGTTATGCAATCGACCAGTCTGGTATGATAGGACCAAAAGGAACATATGTTCCAGACAATATAGCTCGATTAGGTCAGCACGATAGGCAAGCACGACCACCATGTCAAGGTAGCAGCTACGGTCGGGAAATGTAATTGTGCAATACTATGGTCGGATAATGATGAAATTCGAAGCATATTTATTGTTTTGGTATGAACAAATGTGTTATGAAGGCTGTGAGTAAGAAATGTCAATTTTTTCTTATATTCGATATTCTCTGAAATACTGTATGATAGTTAGGAGAATGACGGGTTAGGTTGATCAGGCGTCAAAACAGTATAACCTGCTCAAACACTCAGTGAAATTAGCTAATAAATGAGCATAATTCCCAAAAATCCAAAAAAGTCCAGTCAAGTGTCAGATTAATGGTGTCACACGATAACCTCACATTTCCAGATCAGCAGGTAAAATTCAACTTTATTTACTAGCTGCGGTTACAAACAGATTACCTTTTAAAGTGCCCTCTATTTGTTACCAGTTACGTAAAGTTTTGTAGCGAGTTGCTACTGTAGTATATCTGAGGTGAGCACTGCCGTCCTTATAAATAAAAACGTATATAATCGCCATTATATTGAACCCTTACACAGATATTCCTGTTATTACGGTTACATCAAGTTTAATGAAAATGGGCAATAGTAATAAACTGAACGTTAGGAATATTTTAGAATAAGATTTTTGTCTGGTAAGAAACTATAGGTTTGTGTGAAGGCGGTTTCGAAATGACCTGCAGGAAAATGCAATTCGACAGAAATGAAAATCATACTTTAACACGTCGACCGTTACACTAATCTGTGACATTTGTAGCAGATCTACTCTTTCGCAAGTGAATGTTGAAGTTTCGGCTAATATAAAAGAGATATGTTAGATTGTTGCCCATCCACGACTAGGATAGTGTAGAACTATCTGTTATATTGTGATCTGACAGTTCTCAGGTATTGCTAATAAAAGTGAAGAACATATGTATCATTAGTATTCGACCACTAATGTCAGTATTTTTATTTAAATATCTTGATTGTCTTTCAGTGTTGCATGGGATTAAAACTCGTGTTTTGTTATATGCCATTAAGTCATCCATAACTGATATTTAACGTAAGCTTTCAAAAAAGTCAGTAACTACTGCTCATACGTTCGCCATATTTCTATCGAAGAGACGGACATGGTTACTACCCACGATCTCCAGTCATCCTGAATGGCAAGTCGGCGTAAGCCCTCCGAATCTTTATGAAGTTGAAGAAGCTATAGGAAATCCGAAGCAAGGGGGAGAAGCAGGACCTGATAGATTTATTCCTGAGATTTCTAAGGATGATGGTTCAGTTTTAGCTACTAGATTGACTGAGATCGTATGTAGAATCTGGGAACTGACTGATTAATCTGACTGACTTTCGGATATTCATAATAAAGGACAGGTGAACAAGATTCGGATTTTCGCTAATAAATATATAACCGTCGAAATCAGGTAGACAATTCAGTTTAGTTCAAAAATAAATGGCTATAAATTTTTACAGAAGTAACAGCTGTAATCTAGTAGTAAAATTTATTTCAAAGATATAGCGAAATCGGTAAAATCATTTTTAATAACTGCGATGGGAAATTTAAAGAGAATTAGAACAAAAACACACTCCAAATGTGAGTAAAAGGATGCAAAATATTTATCAAATATAGTGCAATTTTAATGTGTCTTGTATGCAATAATATTATTGCAATATACTAACCTGTTAAGTGAATTTGCGCAAATGTTTGGCTTATTGAATAATTCGGATAGTCCATTTTCCGATTTTTCTATGGCTCTATAAACTTGACTTCCTCGCACCAGATCAATTTCTGAGTAACCTGGCAAGTAGTCAGTTCCAGCTGAAAATTTGTGTTTTTCCAACGGAGATAGATTTGAATCAACTTCAGCCGTGATAAGAGAGTTCAAACTAGGTAATTGAGAAGTAGTATTATGGGTATTAAAACTAGAATCAAACTTATAATTTCTAAACCTTACACTGACATCATCTGATGGATTTAACAGTTCTGTTTGGATATCATCGATACCAATTTCTTCCGAATCAAAATTATCCAGAGCAAAATCGTCCATTTCTCCTTGTTCACTAATATCATCTGAGTCATCTTCAGTTGAAGGTTCCGATACATTATCTTCTTCCTCCTTATCCGGTTCAAACTGACAATTGTAATGAAAACAGGGGAGGACATAAACCGAAAACCTGCTTATAACATAAAGTAAGTTAGGATTTTAAAATAATGAAAAGGTAAGCAGAAAGGAGCTTTACATCTGTTTAGCAACGTAGGGTTAAAGTACAATTACGTTTACAACTATTTTTAGGCGTTTAAGCCTATTCGAAGCTGAAATACGATAGACCAACTCTCATTTTCATGATAAAGATTTAAAAGATCTAATTTTTGTGTAAATGAAATTTTTTTCAGTTAACGTGTAACTAATCTGTTTAGATAGAAAATAAAAATGCATGTTTAGGTTGTAGACTAATCCATACATTTGTGCCAACTGTATAATATTTGATTTAGGTGCATTGTATAGTAACAAAATTATTCTAATAATATTGGCTGATACTATATAAGGTTGTAGTATGTTTGCGTAAATTAACTTTGACATCAAACATCTATTAAAGGTGCCGACTTTGAATTTATCGACCGATCAGTTAGTCATGTGCATTCTATTTACCTCCATTATAATAACGGAATAAGAAAGCGATTTACATGAGAGTTTTAAACTCTGAATACTATTGATACTTATTTTCAGTATTAATTTACACAGCAGGGACAACATCGGACAGGTTTTCGATACTGTGATTTTTTCCCGATTATATTGGCATAAATTTTATAATCACATTCGATTACCAGTAACACTTAAAATTGCTTTCAAACTTACAGTGACAAAGTTAACAGACTAAAATACGAAAACAAATTTAATAAGTGAATACCACTATAGGAACGTCTCATTTTGTGCATTTTTTTTACTCAGCCAGACATACTACAGAGTTAAAAGTAATCAAAGTGATGCAGAGAATGTATGGAATGTGGCTAGCAGTGGAATACAGGACGCGCGTTTCGTCCTATTTTGGACTTATCAAGTGGATGTACCTGCGTCCCAGTATTGATGAGCAATCCGGGACTCGAACCGAGTACCATTCGCTTCAAACGTCATTACGTTATCCACTTAGCAATTGAATTCAGCCTGGTCAAATTCCAGTCAAAAATATCAACAACGGGATACCTCAAGTCGAATTAAACAGTCGCAGTGGTTTCGATATTAATGTTGAACTTAAACAACACCTGAAATATCAAAATCAAGTGGCTTTATTTTTATGGATATCTTTTCAATTAATTTACATCGTTAATGAGTTTCGCAAAGGGACAATAACAAAATGTATGACTTAATTGTGATTCTTATGACATTTTATGTAAATTTCTAAGAGACTGTAAATTTTCACTGAGGAACAGCATTTTAAATCGGATTATATTTCTGTCTGTTCATTTGTAACTTGTTTTTGAATGATCAGGCGTAGAGTGGCTACAATAGCTTATCATGGACTGCTTATGTGGTGGATACAACAGATGAATAAATTAGGAATCTCTTATGACATTTTTACAAGCATCTGATCAGTTCGCCGACAAACGGCTATGACGATTATTCGGAAAATCCGGTACACGCTCAGTAACAACATCAAAATTGAAGTCGAATATAGATGGATTAGGAAGTAAAAAGTTAATTCGTTGCCAATTTACGAAACCAACAGTTTCGGTGTTGCTGAACAATTTTAGACCACTCGATAAATTAAATCAAAACAGTGTCACTTGAAGGTTGAGTCTATTAAGCATAATGGTTTAGAATTAATGCCAATCGAATACTCACTCAATTTATATTTAGCTCTACAGACTAAGAAGTCTTTCGTTTTATTACATTTCTATTATTTTTAGGCTTTTTGTTTGTTACTTCAAGGTTCCTTTAAATACATTGACTGATAATTTCCAAAGCAATGTATGGATGGCAATGATTTGTTTGAATCCTTAGGAATAAATAATATGGTGGATAAATAAAATAAATTGTCTCAACGAAAATGCTGGATTTACCTTGGCAAACGGTCTTTGGTCAACTGGCATATCAAGCAAAGTATCTGCAGCCCTAATGACTGCTCGATAACAGAATCTTAACTGATCAGCTGTCTGGATCATACCCATACGACATTTTCTTAATTCAAGGAATAAACTTCTGATATTAACACCAGAAATAGAATTCGCCTGTTCAATCTAGAATTTAAAAAAATGGAAAGGTACACATGAATGAATACCAAAATATATAAGCAGGAGCATAATGAGTAAAGTCAGAAAATGAGCTAAATGAAGAAAGCGAACGCGCCGGTAAGGTCGACTGGGCAGAGTTCGAACTCCCTCTTGCACTGCTCTCACATGACCACGTGTATATTGCCATTTTCATAGAATTCCTGCTTACAGTCTGTCGTGAGCGTGTTGTTTACGAAATTGAGAGAACAAAACGCGAGAGTCCGGTGCTGCAACCAGGTTGGTGGGTACAGAGGATTCCTAGAGTAATTGGAGAACACTGATTCCAAACCAATGATGCATATCGGCTCCAAAGTCCTGAGAGAATAAGTGGAATAGGAACATACTGTTGGTCACCAATTACATGGGACTGCATCTTCTGACGTTGCGCCACATTGTTGTGGATCGGATCTCCGGGACAACGGCTGGTAAAATATGAGTTTTACAGAAAACTTCCAGAACACCTACAAAATGTTAGGCGCTCTGATACAGTAAGCGTCTGGTGAATTTAAGGCTCAGTTGGGAGGTCTAAGCATAACCCAAGAATATCTGGAGGGAACTTATAGTGTCGCGGCTAACCGAACAGATAATGGCGACCGTTTGCGGCAGCTTTGATCAAATAACCGCCTATTTCTGGAAATTAATAACTTTAAGCACAAGGATAAACATTATGATATGAGGACCCCCAACATCCCAACTGTATCACATCACTATCAGACATCCGTGGAGACTCATTGAAGACAGCTGCTCAATCTGAAGCACTTGTCAAGATTCAGATCATGATCTTGTGGGAGTGCGTATTTGTTTGCGCCTTACTGGATGCAAGAAAAATATCGCTAGTAAACCTTTCAACACACCGACAATACTCCCTATCACTAGTTGAGCTGCCGGTGCAACCCAACTTGAAGCAATATTTTGCATTTCGAGGGGGAAAACTGCATTCCGAACATTCTTGGATTGTTGCTGAAGGTATTCAGAAGACTTTCCATTTTGCCAGCGTCTTCATCAAGTAGAAATATGTCATCTGCATACTGAAAGTTAACAAACGAGTCTTCCGGTAAAAGGCCCAATGATAAAAGTTTGGATGAAGATAATTTTGACTCCAAAAGCAGGTCAATAACTAGGTTAGGCTAGAATGAAGAGAGTGGACAGTCCTGATGGACACCACTTGAAGTAATGAATTCCGGTCACAGTTCGTCATAAGCTCTCACTCGACCTGTAGTGTTCGAGTAGAGAGCTTTTATAAGAGTAATGTACTTCTTTGGTATACCTTTCAATAACAGACACTGCCACAGAACCTCACGGTGCAGGGTCAAAGGCCGCATTGAGGTCCAAGAAGACAACTATTGGAGGACGCCTAAATGTGTGTCTGTGTTCCGGGACCTGTCGTAGAGTGAAAGTGTGGTCTATACAGCCACTTCCGGGTCTGAAACCAGTCTGGTTTTCTCTAGTCTGCTGTTCACGAGCTCTAGTTAGGCGTCTAAGGATAACTGAGGCTAACAATTTAGATACTATATTATTTAGACTGATTCCCCTGTGATTGTCACAAGAAGACTTTTGTCTTTTTATGTAGACTGGGACAATCAGGGATTGAGATCGGTCAGATGGGATTGCGTCCAGTTCCCAGATTCTACCTAAGGTCTCAGTCAATCTAGCTGCTAAAACTGGACCACCATTCTTAAATATCTCAGGGGTCAATCTGTCGGGACCCACAGCTCTCCCTCGGTTCAGATTTCCTATCGCATTCTCAACTTCATAAAGATTCGGGGGGACTTATGTCGGTTTCCCATTCAGGATGACCGGAGATCGTGGGCTGAAGGCCAGTTGAACTGATCCCTAAAGTGTTCTGCCCATCGATCCAACCTCCTGGATTGAGAATGAATCATAAGCCCATCCTCTTTCAAGATAGTCTCCCTTACAGTAGGATTCCTAATACCGGTTTCGTTGATGAGTCTGAATAGTTGCCTACTGTTGCCTTTCGCCTCTGCCTTTTCCATCCCTCTTGCTTTCGCTACCCACCACTTTTCTCGATCGTTGCGAAGGCTTTTTATCAGCCTGCGCCTGAGCTGACTCCGCTCCTCATCGTACTCAGAGCCAGGCGGGATGAGTTTTCGAGCATCCATCAGTTCAACAGATGCTATTGAGATCCACGGCTTCTTCCTAGCCTTATGGTTTGTCTTACTAGCAGATATTACTGCTGTTTCCACAGCCTTTCTGATATCATTCTAACTTGCTTCTGGATGGGAATCACTTACATGATTGCCTAACTCTCTTTCTAGTTGTTCCTGAAATATATTCTTAGCTTTATTATCATTAGGTAAAACCCTAAGAGGCTTCCTTGTGGTGTCTTTCCTACGTCCATTAAGCCTCAAACAAATACGCGCTCTCACTAGAGCATGGTCTGAATCTAAACATGTGCCCTAGTACGAGCGACAGTATTCTATCGAAACCCTCCATCAGTGGCTGATGGCGATGTGATCCAGTTGTGTCCAGCTTTAGGATGACTTCGGGGGTCGTTATGTCGAGATGTTTTTCCTTAAGCTTAAAGTTAGTGTTTGCTAGAAATAGGCGGTTATCTGAGCACAGTTGCAACAGACGGTCTCCATTGTCTGTTTTATTAGCCGCAACACCATAAGATACACCCAGGTGTCCTTCCTCCTCACCTAGTCTACCTACTTGAGCATTAAAGTCACCAGCCATTATTACTACATCAGAGTGCCTAACTTTTTGGAGGAGGTCCGAAAGCTTTCTGTAGAACTCATCTTTCACCTCGATTGAACTGCCGTCAGTGGGAGCATAGGCAGATACGACGGAGAGGCAACGACAGGTGTCCCCATCGTTCCGAATCCTTACTGTCCCGTTCATTCGGACAGCGTATAGGCGATTATCTACTTGGATCCAGTATAGGAGAGCTAGTCCTCCCCTACGACTCAATGCTATACCTTCACCAGCAAGACCCCGGGAAGCAGCATCAGGGCTACCGGATACACGAAGAGTAAATCGGGCTGCTTCTTTGTTTTGATAAGGTGAAATCAAATTAATGATTTTACTAGGATCCTGTATGCGCGTTTCCGAGACGCAGCATACATCGATTGAGCGAGATTCTAATGTGCTAGATAATGAAGCCTGTTGCCCTGTGTGACACAATGTCTGTACGTTAAAAGCTTCAACATGTAGTCTAGAGCGGGGTTTCAGGAGGCCAGGAATAACTTTCAGTGAACTCGCATCGTTTGCATTAGCGGTGTAGCGCGATAAGGGAATGTGAGTAGAGTTAGTCGTGGCGATAAGATGGATGTTAGGTGTGGAAAGGATTTGTTTGTGACTAATTTGGTCTCGCCTGCTGTAACGGGTGAAGGCGGTTGTCACTTCCCAGGTGCCCAAAGCGTGGAAGGTTGTTTCTCGAAGGAACCTGAAAAAGAAGGTAGATTAGCGTCGGTCTGAACGATCTGGGAGAGTCACCGCAGAGCCCAATGGAAAACTGCCTGAGTCCAGTCACACACGTCATTTTTATGAGAGGTTTTTTGAGTACTAGCTCCGCTCTCCGTGGGCACCCTTACAGCCGGAGGCGGAAATCCATGAGGTAGGGTGAGGTATGACAATTTTAGGGTCAACCTTTTCTAACCCCCTCCTTCCTTGTGAGAAGGCAGCATTGCGACAGATACTGGTTGTCCGAGGTGAACACCTTACTCCTGTCACACCCCTCCTCCACAGTCAGTAGTGTGGCTTCTCCCTCAGACTTTCAGTTGCTGCTTTTAGTCTTACCGTTATGCAATCGACCAGTCTGGTATGGTAGGACCAAAAGGAACATATGTTCCAGCCAATATAGCTCGGTCGGGTCATCACGATAGGCAAGCCCGACCACTACGTCAAGGTAGCAGCTTCGGTGACTGACGAAATCTCAGTACGGATACAGAAAGCTCGAATGGCTTTTGTCAGCCTGCGTCACTTATGGTGAAGGCGAGATATCCGTCTGCTGACTGAAGAAAGAGTGTACTGTGCAGTAGTTCGTTCCGTCCTACTTTATGGCTGTGAAACACGACCAGTCAGAGTAGAAGATATTCGCAGGTTGCCTTTTTTCGATCATAGGTGTCTTCGAAGCATTGCTCGTATACCGTGGGACAACCAAGTAAGCAATGCTGTCGTTAGGAAACGAGTACTAGGTAAGGATGGCAGATCAATCGATGAAGTGGTGAAACTTCATCAGTTGAGGTGGTTGGGACATGTGTTACATATGCCTAACCACCGACTGCCTCGTCGAGCTATGTTTTGTGGTGTAGGAGTAGGTTGAAAGAAAGCTAGGGGTGGCCAAACCAAAATATGGCAGAAATCCATGAAGTCATTGACGAGTGGACTTAGCCATGTCGGTAACTGTCGACTACCTGGTTGGGGTCCGCGAGATGATAATAATCGATGGTTGGAGACTTTGGATGACATGGCTCAAAACCGTTTGCAATGGCGCCGGTGCATTCATTCTTCGTGTTCTCTCAAATCCAAATCTTCTGGATTGTTCAACACCTCCAGTTTTGTCTTTCTAAACTTATCTCACTGAATCATACTTCTTGAATAATATCTAATCCGAACCTCTCCGATTACTTCTAATACCCTTACTACCTCTACTACAATAGGATTTGAATTGAAAATTATATTTCTGTGCTAATGTGGTATGGCAACCTGAACTGATGTACTTACGTACGAAGTTCTACGTTTCGACTGACTGACTGACTGATTACACTAATTAGCTTAGAAACAAAAAGGTTTGATCAGGCGTAAATACGGGGATAATTATTGTAGTAAATTCTGAAAAATATTTGCATTCACAAAGTCGCTTTGTATGCTTGATTACTAAGATTGGTTCTACAACCTGTTTAGTATAACAGAACCATAAACCAACAAACAAACATATTTACAAATGATCAAGTATTAGAGAGCCAACTATTTGACTGATGCAGTCAGTCAGTCAGATGCAACGTAGAACTTTGTACATAAGTACATCAGTTCATGTTGCCATACCACATCAGCACAGAGAAGTAATCGTCAATTCAAATCCAATAGTAGAAGAGGTAGTAAGGGAATTAGAAATAATCGGAGAGGTTAGGATTAGAAGATATTATTCAAGAAGTATGATTCAGTGAGATAAGTTTAGAGAGTCGAAACTAGAGGTGTTGAAGAATCCAAAAGATTAGCATTTGAGAGAACACAGAGAATAAATGCACCGGCGCCATTGCGAACGATTTTGAGCCATGTCATTCAAGGTCTCTAACCATCGATTATTATCATCTCGCGGATCCCAACCAGGTAGTCGACAACTACCGACATGGCTAAGTCCACTTGTCAATGACTTCATGGATTTCTGCCATGTTTTGGTTTGGCCGCCTCTAACTTTCTTCCAACCTATTCCTACACCACAAAACAAGGCTCGACGAGGCAGCCGGTGGTTGGGCATACGCAACACATGTCCCAACCACCTCAACTGGTGAAGTTTCAATACTTCATCTATTGATCTGCCATTCTTACCTAGCACCCGATTCCTAATAACAGCGTTGCTCACTCGGGTGTCCCACGATATACGAGCAATGCTTCGAAGACACCTATGATCGAAAACCATTAACCTACGAATATCTTCTACTCTCACTGGCCATGTTTCACAGCCATAAAGTAAGACGGAGCGAACTACTGCACAGTACACTCGTCCTTTAGTCAGCAAACGGATATCTCGCCTACGCCATAAGTGACGCAGGTTGGCAAAAGCCAATCGAGCCTTCTGTATCCGTGCTGAGATTTCGTCAGTCACCAGGCCATCGGCACTGATGAGACTCCCAAGATAAGTGAAGCGGTCTACACGTTCGACTACTTCACTCCCTATCATTAGTTCAGGTGCCGATGCAACCCAGTCTTGAAGCAACATTTTGCATTTCGAGGGGGAAAATCGCATCCCGAACATGCTTGCATTGTTGCTTAGGGTAGTCAGAAGACTCTGCATTTTGTCAGCGTCTTCACCAAGTAGGACTATGTCATCGGCATATTCTAAGTCAATCAGCGAGCCACCTGGTAGAAGTTCTACTCCTGAAAATTCAGACGAGGATAATGTTAACTCTAGGAGCATGTCTATGATAAAATTAAACAAGAATGGAGAAAGTGGACATCCCTGACGGACACCACTTGATGTAGAGAATTCCGGTGACAGTTCGCCATAAGCCCTCACTCGACCAGTGGTGTTCGAGTAAAGAGCTTGTATAAGGTTAATGTACTTCTGTGGTACACCTTTCAATGACAGACACTGCCACAGAACCTTACGATCCACTGAGTCAAATGCCGCCTTAAGGTCCAGGAAAACAACTATTGTAGGACGCCTAAATGTGTGTCTATGTTCCAGGACCTGTCTGAGTGTGAAGACGTGGTCTATACAACCACGTCCAGGTCGAAAACCAGATTGGTTTTCTCGAGTCTGCTCTTCACGAGCTTTCGTTAAGCGTCGAAGTATTATTGAGGCCAGTATTTTAGATACTATATTAGTTAGACTTATTCCCCTGTGATTGTCACAAGAAGACTTTTGTCCTTTCTTATAGATTGGGACAATCAGTGATTGAGACCAGTCGGATGGGATTACGTCCAGTTCCCAGATTCTACCTAAGATCTCAGTCAATCTAGCTGCTAAAACTGGACCACCATCCTTAAATATCTCAGGGGTCAGTCTATCAGGACCTGCAGCTCGTCCTCGTTTCAGATTTCCTAACGCTTTCTCAACGTCATTAAGACTAGGGGGACTTACGTCGATTTGCCATTCAGGATGACTGGAGATCGTGGGTAACCGAAGAGTGGCTCGTGGCCAGTTGAACTGATCCCTAAAGTGTTCTGCCCATCGATCCAGTCTCCTGGATTGAGAATGGATAATAAGACCATCCTTTTCCGAGATAGTCTCACTCACATTCGGGTTCTTAATACCAGTTTCTTTAATAAGGCGGAAAAGTTGTCTACTGTTGCCGATCGCCGCTGCCTTTTCCATCGCTTTTGCTTTCGCCACCCACCACTGTTCGCGGTCGTTACGCAGACTTTTTATAAGTCTACGCCTAAGCTGACTACGCTCTTCATCATGCTCAGAGTCAGGTGGGATGCGTTTTCGAGCATCCATCAGTTCGGTGGATGCGACTGATATCCACGGCTTCATCCTAGCCTTATGGTTTACCTTACTAGCAGATATCACTGCTGTTTCCACAGCCTTTCTGATATCATACCAACCTGCTTCTGGATGGGAATCACTTACATCGTTGCATAACTCTCTTTCTAGTTCCTCCTGAAATATTTTCTTGGTTTGATTATCATTAAGTAAAACCCTAAGAGGCTTCCTTACGGTGTCTTTCCTACGCCCAGTAAGCCTTAAACAGATACGAGCTCGCACTAGAGCATGATCTGAATCCAAACATGTGCCCCAGAACGAGCGACAGTCTTCTATCGAACCCCTCCATCGGTGACTGATGGCGATGTGATCTAGTTGAGTCCAACGTTGAGACGACTTTGGAGGTCGCCAGGTCAGCAGATGCTTTTCCTTATGCCTAAAGTTGGTGTTCGCTAAGAATAGGCGGTTATCTGAGCATAGTTGCAACAGACGGTCGCCATTATCTGTTCTCTCAGTCGCTACACCATAACATCCACCTAGATGTCTTTCCTTTTCACCTAGTCTACCTACTTGAGCATTAAAGTCACCAGCCATTATTACTATATCAGAGCGCCTAGCTTTTTGGAGGAGGTCCGAAAGCTTTCTGTAAAACTCATCTTTAAGCTCGTCTGCACTGCAGTCAGTGGGGGCATAGGCAGATATGACGAAGAGGCATTTGAATGATGCTGAAGTAAGTTATTATAATTATTAATCAAGCTTTGGTTAAGAAAACGAACTTTGTTTCTGAAAATAACAATGACATGTACACGCTAAAAGAAGCACTATATTGGAGATTAGATCATTAATTCTTCAGAAGTTGTGTTTGTTCACATTTTCTCTCAAAAAATAAAATTTAGAATAGAACAGTTTTGTTTTTTGTCATTAACAACACGAAAAATCATCAAAAATATACATATAGTTTGTACTGAAAGCTATAGATTCAACTTACCAGGATTAATGCTAAATCTATCAAAACAAATGCTCCTGATCGTCCAATACCAGCACTACAATGTATAACTGGTGGATAAGATGGATCGTTTAATGCACCCGAAGCTCTAACAGACCAAAGAAAATTCAATATTGCGCTAGGAGAATTAGGTACCCCAAAATCGGGCCAATTAGTATACTGCATATGTAAGACATGGTGAACTTCATTGGTCTGAATAAAATGAAACTTAGAACAATCAGTAAATGTCAATAAATTCGGCAATTCAAGCTCTGATTTTCATTCTTAATCAGGCTTAAATGGTGATGCTAAGTTTGGCATAGATATCGTAACATTAAACAAGCAGAATCTAAACTTTAAATTTAAAACATAACGGTTCTAAAAAGTGGACAATTTCTTAAAAAAGAATATTTAGCTATCAAGAACCTTGGAATCGTAGAGGATAACAGGTTGTTGGGATTTTTCGATGAGACGTGGAGGTTCATTTAGTGGTTTCTAGTTACGCTGGTAAACGTAAAGCTGATCCCTATGTTTACAGCCACGTAGTCCATGGCTTTTACTTAATCATGTAACATAGATTTGTGTGCTTTGCTTAGATCCACTTTCAGTGTTAAGGTTAGCGAAACTATTCGGTTACCAAAACCGAAATATGTAGAGCGTTGGTAGAACCCGGGACTTAGAGACTGACAGTTGTGCACCCTGAACACTGAACTATCACCTCATGAATTCATAACTAACATGGCTCATGCTCAACGGTGAGAATGTGCGCAAAACCAAAGTAATCGGAGCAACTGCTGTTGCCCTTAGAGTTCTGTGTCTCCTCATGAGAAACTAGTCCTATTAAACTGACCTAGTGCCTTAAGTGATAAAGCGTTCACCAATTAGTAAGTAGGGAATCTCCGTAATAGGTTAGAAGTGCCAAAATGACACTCAATAATTAATCACAACTTCATATAACTGAATAAATTAGAAATAATAATCAGTATTTTAGATAAAATAATTTACAGTTCATGATTTAAATTAATTCTTTGTAAGTCAGTCAGAAAATTCAGACGAGGATAATGTTAACTCTAGGAGCATGTCTATGATAAAATTAAACAAGAATGGAGAAAGTGGACATCCCTGACGGACACCACTTGATGTAGAGAATTCCGGTGACAGTTCGCCATAAGCCCTCACTCGACCAGTGGTGTTCGAGTAAAGAGCTTGTATAAGGTTAATGTACTTCTGTGGTACACCTTTCAATGACAGACACTGCCACAGAACCTTACGATCCACTGAGTCAAATGCCGCCTTAAGGTCCAGGAAAACAACTATTGTAGGACGCCTAAATGTGTGTCTATGTTCCAGGACCTGTCTGAGTGTGAAGACGTGGTCTATACAGCCACGTCCAGGTCGAAAACCAGCCTGGTTTTCTCGTGTCTGCTCTTCACGAGCTTTCGTTAAGCGTCGAAGTATTACTGAGGCCAATATTTTAGATACTATATTAGTTAGACTTATTCCCCTGTGATTGTCACAAGAAGACTTTTGTCCTTTCTTATAGATTGGGACAATCAAGGATTGAGACCAGTCGGATGGGATTACGTCCAGTTCCCAGATTCTACCTAAGATCTCAGTCAATCTAGCTGCTAAAACTGGACCACCATCCTTAAATATCTCAGGGGTCAGTCTATCAGGACCTGCAGCTCGTCCTCGTTTCAGATTTCCTAACGCTTTCTCAACGTCATTAAGACTAGGGGGACTTACGTCGATTTGCCATTCAGGATGACTGGAGATCGTGGGTAACCGAAGAGTGGCTCGTGGCCAGTTGAACTGATCTCTAAAGTGTTCTGCCCATCGATCCAGTCTCCTGGATTGAGAATGGATAATAAGACCATCCTTTTCCGAGATAGTCTCACTTACACTATGATTCCTAATACCAGTTTCTTTAATAAGGCGGAAAAAATGTCTAGTGTTGCCTATCGCCGCTGCCTTTTCCATCGCTTTTGCTTTCGCCACCCACCACTGCTCGCGGTCGTTACGCAGACTTTTTATAAGTCTGCGCCTAAGCTGACTACGCTCTTCATCATGCTCAGAATTCTTTGTAAAAACTTCCAGGTTACTTCTTAAAAAGGAGCATTAGTTAGGTAAAGCAGCAAAATTATTAAAGCATAGTTGTTGAAGCAAACAGGTAAAATGAAAATATTCATTTGTGTTCAATATGTGTCAAAAACATGGAAGCGGAAAATATCAAGTATCCAAGCAATGAGATGGTGGAGAAAATTTGTAGCTCAGGTGGACGTAGGAAAGACACCACAAGGAAGCCTCTTAGGGTTTTACCTAATGATAATAAAGCTAAGAATATATTTCAGGAACAACTAGAAAGAGAGTTAGGCAATCATGTAAGTGATTCCCATCCAGAAGCAAGTTAGAATGATATCAGAAAGGCTGTGGAAACAGCAGTGATATCTGCTAGTAAGACAAACCATAAGGCTAGGAAGAAGCCGTGGATCTCAATAGCATCTGTTGAACTGATGGATGCTCGAAAACTCATCCCGCCTGGCTCTGAGTACGATGAGGAGCGGAGTCAGCTCAGGCGCAGGCTGATAAAAAGCCTTCGCAACGATCGAGAAAAGTGGTGGGTAGCGAAAGCAAGAGGGATGGAAAAGGCAGAGGCGAAAGGCAACAGTAGGCAACTATTCAGACTCATCAACGAAACCGGTATTAGGAATCCTACTGTAAGGGAGACTATCTTGAAAGAGGATGGGCTTATGATTCATTCTCAATCCAGGAGGTTGGATCGATGGGCAGAACACTTTAGGGATCAGTTCAACTGGCCTTCAGCCCACGATCTCCGGTCATCCTGAATGGGAAACCGACATAAGTCCCCCCGAATCTTTATGAAGTTGAGAATGCGATAGGAAATCTGAACCGAGGGAGAGCTGTGGGTCCCGACAGATTGACCCCTGAGATATTTAAGAATGGTGGTCCAGTTTTAGCAGCTAGATTGACTGAGACCTTAGGTAGAATCTGGGAACTGGACGCAATCCCATCTGACCGATCTCAATCCCTGATTGTCCCAGTCTACATAAAAAGACAAAAGTCTTCTTGTGACAATCACAGGGGAATCAGTCTAAATAATATAGTATCTAAATTGTTAGCCTCAGTTATCCTTAGACGCCTAACTAGAGCTCGTGAACAGCAGACTAGAGAAAACCAGACTGGTTTCAGACCCGGAAGTGGCTGTATAGACCACACTTTCACTCTACGACAGGTCCCGGAACACAGACACACATTTAGGCGTCCTCCAATAGTTGTCTTCTTGGACCTCAATGCGGCCTTTGACCCTGCACCGTGAGGTTCTGTGGCAGTGTCTGTTATTGAAAGGTATACCAAAGAAGTACATTACTCTTATAAAAGCTCTCTACTCGAACACTACAGGTCGAGTGAGAGCTTATGACGAACTGTGACCGGAATTCATTACTTCAAGTGGTGTCCATCAGGACTGTCCACTCTCTTCATTCTTGTTTAACTTTGTCGTAGACATCCTCTTAGAGTTAACATTAAGCTCGTCAGATTTTGCTGGGGTTGACCTTCTACTAGGAAAATCGCTTACTGACCTAGTATATGCCGATGACATAGTTCTATTCGGTGAAGACGCTGACAAAATGCAGTTTTCTGACTACCCTAAGCAACAATGCAAGCATGTTCGGATTGCGGTTTAACCACCCCCAACCCGAAATGCAAAATGTTGCTTCAGGATTGGCTTGCGACTTCACCAGAACTAGTGATAGGGAGTGAAGTAGTCGAACGTGTAGACCGCTTCACTTATCTGGGGAGTCGCATCAGTGCTGATGGTCTGGTGACTGACGAAATCTCAGTACGGATACAGAAAGCTCGAATGGCTTTTGTCAGCCTGCGTCACTTATGGTGAAGGCGAGATATCCGTCTGCTGACTGAAGAAAGAGTGTACTGTGCAGTAGTTCGTTCCGTCCTACTTTATGGCTGTGAAACACGACCAGTCAGAGTAGAAGATATTCGCAGGTTGCCTTTTTTCGATCATAGGTGTCTTCGAAGCATTGCTCGTATACCGTGGGACAACCAAGTAAGCAATGCTGTCGTTAGGAAACGAGTACTAGGTAAGGATGGCAGATCAATCGATGAAGTGGTGAAACTTCATCAGTTGAGGTGGTTGGGACATGTGTTACATATGCCTAACCACCGACTGCCTCGTCGAGCTATGTTTTGTGGTGTAGGAGTAGGTTGAAAGAAAGCTAGGGGTGGCCAAACCAAAATATGGCAGAAATCCATGAAGTCATTGACGAGTGGACTTAGCCATGTCGGTAACTGTCGACTACCTGGTTGGGGTCCGCGAGATGATAGTCACCGATAGTTAGAGACCTTGAACGACATGGTTCAGAATCGTTTGTTTCACTAGATTCTACTTCTTGAATAACGTTTTCGAACCCTGATCTCTCCGATTACTTCCAATAGCTTTAGTACCTCTACTACTATGGGATTTGATTTGACAATTATATCTCGGGGATATACTTCTTGAATCATATCCTTAATCCCTAATCTTTTCGACTAGCACGAACACTGCTACTGCTTATATCGTTATGGGATTCGAATTGACAATTTCATGGCAACTCGAACTGATGTACGTATCTCGCTACGTTGTTGATGACTGGTTAGCTGACTATGGACAATGGTTGACAAATCTTAGAACCAAACACTTCTCCGATTGGCTTAATCGTTAGGGGTTATCAACACATATAATCTCCACTAGAAAGAGTTGATATAAAATTTCTATATAAAGACTATGGTAAAACGTCCTACCTTGGTGTGATTAATGACGAGTTTTCGGTTAATGAATATTTTTCCTTTTGTCTCGTACTTCAGCTCCACATTCAGATTAATTTCTTTTAATTCTAGCACAGAAGGGCCACCATCATAAGGAAAATAAGGATGACACCTAAGAGAACCTTTTTCAACAAGGCGATTGAGCATGATGATGGCAGGGCACTGTCGCTCCCAAACCATGAGCCAGAAATGATTTACTGTCTGCTGCATTGGACCCTGAGTGAGTATATATTTTCTAGACGGCACCTCCGGGATGAAGACGAAGCTTGCATTAATGTAGTCACCATCATGTGCATTACATAGCAAAACCCTGGTGGAATCAACTAAAAAAAATGTTTGTATTGATGATTGACTTACATGGACTAACATCACGGTAGCGGTTTTTCCATCGATTTTTGACATCTCTAGCAGCATCGACTGAAAAATTCTGATTCAAAACTGTAGACTTGTTTTTTAATTGCTAAAGAAATTACTTCGATGCTATGAATTCGTACCTCATATACAATGTTCCACGACTTTTCGTTGTCAAATTGTTGCATTTCATCTCGCAAATTATACGAAACAATGTTGTCAGACAAATTTTTGGTTTCCATCATTCCACCAACAACAAACCAACGCAAGGACTTTGTTACGTGTAACGGACAAAATTAAAATACTTTTGATCCAATATCCAATATCTTTTTCACGAGCTAGTGTAAACCAATTTGATTTCTTCGAGCTCGATTCTTGTTCTTTCGGTACGGTCCCGGGTGTTTGGTAATTTCCAATCGATGGAGGTCTAGCCACTCGACTGTCTAATTCTAGTCAGTTGGTTGTGAGTTTGTATGTCTCGTGATTTAACTGAAAACGTTTGTTTCACGGCAGTAGGGTTTCTGGATACCATCAGCTATCACATTACCAGACCGCAGATCAGTTAGTTGCAATGTTGAGAGTAATAAGGATAATAAGGATAAAATTCTAATGCTAATATGAATAAGATTTCGGAACTAAGTAATAAATAGATGAATTTAGTTTGTTAATTGGTGGTGAAGATTGTGAGAGGACCGTAGTGTAAGCAAGGGAGAGGGAACAGAGATAATAGGTGAGGTAGAATAATTGAGTGATCTGAGGAGATGGCAATGATAACAAATAGCAGGTCTCAAGATATGCATCATGAACAGCTTGTCCAAGAGGGAGATGATAATCTGTAAGTACGTGATTATCAAGTCTGTTCTTCAAGCTGTCTACCGAGGGGACTGTGGTCACCTCGGCTGGGAGAGCATTCCAAGTTGCGACGACTCTCAATGAGAAAAAGTTTGCACGAACCTGAATATTCTCTCTTTGATGTGCAATTTTTCGAGGATTGCCTCGAGGGGAGTGGTGGTGATGCATCGGTAAGATGCTCACGTTGGGATGGTTTGGCGTGCTTAATATGTTGTACGCCATGATCAGGTCACCTCTGATTCTCCTGTAGCTCAGTGGAAATAATCCCAAGTGCTGGTGTCTATCTTCGTTAGGTTTATTTTTCAACCCTGTCACCCATTTGGTTGTTCGTCTCTGCACTCGATCCCAGAGATTTATGTCTCTTTTAAGCAGAGGGGGTGCGATGACATTGTGAACCTCCAAGTGTGTCAAAAATAATTGCGAGTTGATAGCACCAAGTTGTCCTCGCATAAAGTGAAGAATCACATTTGCATTGGCTGCGTCCCCTACATAGTTCGGGCTAGTGTGGAGGCTTTTTGTGGCTATTAAACGAAGATCGCGCTCTGAGGAGACATTAGGGAGCGGACTTCCATTGAGGGTTTAGGTCGTTTGCGTCATATGAGGCACGAAATGCATGACGTGGCACTTCGGTTGGTTGAGTTTTAAGCCGTTTTTCACTGCCCATTTCTCAATAGATGTAAGGTCCTTCGGAAGCTCAGTCGAATTCTCTTCGCTTCTAATGGACCTCCAGATCTTCGCATTATCTGCGTAGATCAATGCCGTTATGCTAACTGAGCCTAGCAGGTCGTTAATAAATATCAGGAAGAGAAGTGTGCTTAAGAAGGTCCCCTGTGAAACTCCCGATGTGGATAATCACCAACTCGCGTGCACCCTATTTACCTTGATACGAAACTTTCTATTCCCAAAGTAGTTTCTGAGCCAAGATAGGAGTGGGTCAGTGATGCCCGTTTCCACAACCTTTGCGATTAGGCGTGTGTGGGGTACTGTGTCAAAGGCTTTTGCGAAGTCTAGAAATATTATGTGCACCGGTATTTTACGGTCCATGCAGGATGTCCAACTGTCCCATGCAATGAGAAGATTAGATGCACACGACCTGCCTTTCCGAATCCCGTGTTGAGCTTCATGGAGTATTTCATTCTTATCCATGTATTCCCTCATTGGTTCGTCCACCAGTCCTTCCATTACCTTTTATAGTATTGGTAGTAATGCGATTGGTCTATAACAGGCTGGGTCCTTTCTATCTCCACCTTTGAAGACTGGAGAAAGAGTGCTTGTTTCCATTCAGCTTGGAGTTGGTGTGACTCTGCTGAATGCCTGAATGGGTCACATATCGGTGAACAGAGGACTTGTGTATATTGTTTCAAGAGTATGGGGCGAATTTCGTCACAACCTGGTGACTTTCCTGGGCGTAAGGATTTTAGTTTCCTTAGTACTAAGTCAGGAATGATACGGATATTCCCTAAACCGTCAGCTGGCAATGGGTTTGCGTAGTTTTGTGAACCAGTGGGTGTCTGGTTTAACGGCCCAGTGAAGTTAGTGTTGAAGATCTCTGCCATCTGCTGGTTGGTGAGATCTTCCCCGTTCGGTCCTTTGAGAGAACCCAACCCTTGATTAGTAGGTTTTCTTTTGGACATGCACGTAAACATATGCTTCGGGTTCGCCTGTGTTTTGGCAGCTAGCTTCATCTGAAATTGTCTACTATCACTTCGAACTTTAGTATTGCATCTGTTTCTCAATGCCAAGTAAGAACTACGATTAGAATCCTTCAAGGAGATCTTTCACTTATGCCAGGCTTTCCTCTTAGCCTGCAGCAAGCGTTCAGTGCGGCGCCTAGCCAAAGTTCTTCTATTCCCAGGTGTGTGGTGTGACTGAGGTACGTTGTCTACGACAGCGATTTGGATGATATCTCTCACTGCTTGCCAGTAATCATCTACTGTCAGCCTACACGACTCCCGTGGCCATGGGGCATGTAGGAGGACCTCTCTCTTAAGGTATAGTATGCCCTATTGTAGCAAAGATAGGGCTCGTTATCGTCCTGTGTGAGTGTTTCGTTTATGACCATGTTAAACAAGACTGTGCCGTGATCACTACTGCTTAATGGTGTATGCACGTGAACATCTTTAACCAGAAGCTGGTTATTTTTTAACAGATAATCCACGTTAGATTGTCCAATACCCAATGTTTTTTTTCGTGTGACAGTACAAACCAGGTGATTTCTTAGCACTCGTTTCTTGTTGTTTTAGTACGGTTCTAGGTATTTCATGATGTCCAATGGATGGTAGTCTAGTCTTCACTTATTTTAGTTTCTTGGCAATTAGGATTTTGTATAACTGTGATTTAAATTATTGCTTTTGTCTCGGGGCGGAAACAAATATACCCAAAAAACACAGTGAAATTATTGATATTGATATAAAGGTTTTAATCAGCCAAATGTGTTCGTTTCTCCCGTAACAGGTCTATGTATGTTTTGTGGAACCATTCATTGGATTTATTATACTACATACATGTGATGACAGAAAAGCGGCAGCGACGTCATGTTTATGCACTCCTAGGGACCATAATGAAATGTGGATATGGAAACATTTACATACCCGGATAGCGTCACTGATTAACAAGGTAAATCTGATACTGGTATAAAGACACGGATTGGCGAGGGAAGAGCAATATTTATACATTTGAAGAACATCTGGATCTTAAGTCAGCTGCCAATCAACATCAAAATCAGAATTTTTAATACAAATGTCAAAGCAGTTCTACAATATGGGCGGAAACTTGGAGAACTATCAAAGCTTTCATCCACAAGATACATGTGTTTATTAATAGTTGTCTACGCAAAGTACTTCGGATCCGTTAACCAGGTACCATCAGCAAAAACCTACTGTGGGAGTGAACAAACCGGATTCCAGAAGAGGAACAAAACAGGAAAAAGAGCTTTAGTTGGGTACGATACACACGTCAGAAATCACCTACTCGCATTACGAGGCAAGCCCCCGCTTGGAACCATCAAGGACAAAGGAAACGTTTTAGAACAGGGAACTTCATGTAACAAGAACCAGGGACAGATAAACGAAGTTATATGCTAGGAAATTCTTGGATATTGAAATGTGGTTGTGTATACTGATGTTTCCTATTATTGGTGAGCGACCTGTGAAGTTAAGTCATATCCAAAGTACTCGTGGTGATAACCGAAGGTGTTCCTGATGCCCAGTATAGTTCTGGCCAAAAAAATTAGCCATTACGTTTGTTAGAGCTAACCAGCTGGTTTTCTAAAGTTTTAATGGGGTTCATTGATATTCTTCTTGCATCACAGCAGTGGTACTCCATGTTGGTCATAGTGATAAGTTATTTATAGTTGCGGTTCGCTGTTTTCTACCTACATAGTCCGACATTCAAAAATTTGGTCGACTTCATGTAACCTGGACAATTTGTGTACCCTCATTTCATAATATAACGATTTGGTACCAAGTCTTAAACACCTTTCATTGAGGTCAACTAGCGACTTGACTGCATCAGTTCTAGAGTATCAAACAACAATTTGTTTTTTGTGCTTAAGTTTTCAAAGACAAAAGGTGTTATTTAAACAGGCAAGAAACGGTTAGGTTGCCACACGAAAATTTTGAACGAAAAGTTGGTTTGGCCACATACCTAAGGTACTTTGCATTGGTGATATGCCTGGACCACGCTTCACGGACACAGTAGGAAGAGGATGGTTTTGTTCCAAGGGGTTGAATGTTGAGACCATGGAACTTAGACAAATTGAATATTAGACTGTTATCACCTACCAAACTTCACAATATTTTGAGATCAACCTGACTATTAAGCGATTCCTCATCATTTCAGAACAAATTCGGTCATAAAGGTAGCAGCAGTACTGGCGGTAATACAACACCTACTTAATAACAATCGACTATCGACCTCGAAGCACGGATTCTACATGTCCAGGTCATGCGATATATTACTTACTTACTAACTTACTTAATTACGCCTGTTACCCCAATGGAGCATAGGCCGCTCACCAGTTTTCTGTTAATAAGCACATGTATCTTGTGGACGATGGCTTTGGTAGTTCTCCATGTTTCCGCTCCATACAGTAGAACTGTTTTGACATTTGTATTGAAAATCCTGATTTTGGTTTTGGTTGTAAGTTGTTCGGAGTTCCAGATATTTTTCACTTGTAGTAATGCAGCCCTTGCTTTGCCAGTCCGCGCCCTCACATCTGCACCATATCCACCTTGATTGTCGATGATGCTGCCAAGAAATGTAAAGGTGTTAACGTCCTCCAAGGCATCTCCATCAAGAGTGATTTAGTTGGTGCATGTTGTGTTGCATCGGAGACTTTTGCTTTTTGCTTTATGTGTGTTGAGATCTACTGCTGCTACAGTGGCATTTGTTGTTGCGTGTGCGATAAAAGAGCCAGGTCATCTGAGAAGTGCGGATCGTCCAGCTGCGTCC